GGCCAGCACTCCCAGGCAGTTCCCAGGGGTCAGTTGCTTCTCTGCAGGGTGGAGCAGGACCTGGTCACTCCACTGACTTGGTAGCAGCCTCCCCCTCCCTGCCTCCACACTGACCAGAGACCTTCTCTAGCTCAGGCTCCACCCTCTTGGTGGAGAAGGGGCAGAGTTGGAGTGGCTCTGGAAAACTGGCTGCCTCAGTGCCTAGCCCTGCTGGCCCTGGGGTTGGCTTTGAAAGAACCAGGAGACACGGTCAAGGTATCAGTTTGTGGCTGAGTCAGGAGTGGGGGTTGGTCTGTGTTTGGGTCAAGGGTCAGATAGTCTGTGGCTGGTGTCAATCTATGGCTAGGTTGGGGGTCAGGAGAGGTCAGTGTAGCTGGTTTAGGGATTAGGGGTCAGTCTGTGGCTGGGCTAGGAGTGAGGAGGTCAGTTCAAGTCAATTCAATAAACATTAATTAAACAACTCTGATGTGCCAGGCACAGTGGTCAGTCTGTAGTTGGGTTGGGGGTCAGCCTGTGGCTGGGTTAGGGTAATAATTTGGTCCATGGTGGGGACACAACCGGGTCACTGCGTCAAGCCTTTTCTCTTTGGGGTTCGGGGAAGCATCTGGGGTGCCTCAAAGCTCCGCCTCCCCAGGTGGCTGTGTGCGCAGCTCACCAAGGAAGGACACGCAGACTTTGCAGAAAGTGTGGAACTGAAACTTGCTGGCGGCCTCCAGCAGCGTCTTAGCATTGGCCGCATCGATGGTCAGCGAGCCCGTGTAGACGAACTCCAGGAGCAGCTCCAGGACATCTGCACGGAGGTCAGGCAGGTTGAGCTCCAACTTGTCGCGGCTGTCGCGTTCCCGGGGAGACCTAGGCACAGCAGACCAGAGCATTCTCAGCCCCCGGCCCCGCCGGGCCCCCTGCTCCCCAGCAGGGTGAGGCCTGGCTTCCTTCCCTTCCAGCCTCAGTCACGTGCTTCTCTTGGGGGGATCAGAAAGCATGGCACACCTGACCCCAGGGACCTAGCTCCGCATCTGTAAGAGAAGAGCGTGACCCGGAGGGAGCCCGAGGGGCAACAGAAAGCCCTGCTGGGCGCCAGGCTGCCTTTCATGCAAAAAAGGGGGCGAACCAAAAAGGATGAGTCACACGGATGGAGATGAGGGACAGCTTGACTCCCCAGGGAAACAATAGGCTTTGGGGACCGCCACCAGGGCGGGCAGGAAGCCTCTGGTGGGGCAGCGTCCCCTCCCTGCGCCTGCCTGCCGCGGACGCAGACGGGAGGCGGTGGGAAGCGGAAGAGGCCCCGGGGGGGGCCCCCCTCCCCCGGCCTGGCCCCCACTCCCCGGCCTGGCCCCCAAACATATTGTTCCCTGTCGGGCACAGCAAAGGAAGCCCTTCATGATATTGCTTGGAAACGGAAGACGAGACGAGATAGACGGACAGAATGGTTAGAGCCAGGAGGGGCAGGGGGAGCGACCCTCTCCCTCCGCCACAGGCAGCCAGCAGCCATCCATCCTGCGGGGCCTCGTCTGGGGGCTCGGGGCAGCGCCTGGGCCTGTGTGTGAGCTCGTGCTGGTGAACCTGAGGGGGATGCTGGGAGAGGGGGCACGTGGGGATGGGGGGAAGGGAAGTCTGTCAGGGTTCGAGGGACAGACAGCGGGACAGAGGGCATGCCACCAGTGGGGCCCTAGCAGGCACCAGCACCAACCCTAGAGAGGACCTAAAAGACAGAGACAAAAAGAAAACCCCAGTCCCAACCGAACCGGTGAAGTCGGTGACGTGCAGGCAGGAGGAGGAAGCAAAGATGAGCTGGGTTAGGAGACCGCTGAGTCTTCAGTACCCCCTCCTCCCCCCAGAAGCCATCAGGGTGAGCCTGGCAGATGGCCAGGCAGGCCAGACCGCATTCTCTGCCCTCTTGGTAGGGTGAGAAAACCGAGGCCTAGGCAGGGGCAGGGACTGGGCTAGCCACACGGCTGGGAAAAAGCGGGGTCCAGATTTGACCCTAGACCCCCCCCCCAGTCCCGGGCCAGGCTGCAGTCTCACTGGCTTTCACTCTGCCCGACTGCCCTGTCTAGCCCTGTCTGCAGACCAGGGGACCCCTGTGGCCACGCTGGCTGTCGGGGAAGGCCCCTAGGGTAGGTGGGGTCCTGGCCCGGGTGTCAGCCAGGGACTGGCTGCGGGATCACTGGGAGGATCCTCGCCTGCCCTTCCTTCCCCGGGCATCGGCTCCTTTCCTGGAAAGTGTGAGGGGTTTCACTCGATGTTTTCAGGTCTTTTCCAGCTCTGATGCACCATGATTCTAGGTGAGGGAGGCCAGAGACACCTCAGCCATGCCACGCTGCCTGAAGTTCCACCATAACGGTGGTTCCTTGGGAGCTGTGGAGGCCAGGCCATTGGCTGGGCCAGAGTTCAGAGTCTGCATCATTCTGCAGCAAAAACCAGTGACTGGGGTGAGGGGCCTCTGTCCCCAGCTCCTGTCTCAAGCCTCCCTAGGTTTTCTCTGCCTCTGACATAGCTGCTACAGCCTGAGAAGGAGGAAGGATTGGAGGTTCCCTCTTAGATCTCTGGGCATGGGGCTGATAGTGCATCCCCCCCACCCTGTTCCCACTTGCCTCCTTCCTGGCCTCTCCACATCCCAGGGCTTCACTGGCTTCCTTGTGTTGACCCTCCCCAGCCATGTGCACTAGTCACACTGTGAGTCTATGGTGCTTTGCCCAAAGGCTCTCTATCACCCTGGGAACCAATGAGTTACAGTCACAGAACCCCAAAGATGAAAGGAATCGACGGAGCAGGTTTAGAACCGAGAAACTCACCACCTCACAAAATGACTCACTCTGTTCATGTCCCAGACTTGTTCCCTCTAACCTTAATTTCTGCTCAGAGGCCCTAGGAGACCCAAGGTAAACAAAGGCAGGAAAGTACCCAAGTGCCCTCAGTGGACTCAGGTGGACCTCAGCCCGAGGGTCGCAGCCCCACACATCTAGAGCTGGCCGGCCCTGAGAGGGGCACAGAGGCCCAGGGAGGTGGCCTGAGTGCCAGAGATGGGGTGGGAGCCTGGGGCCCTATCCTCTCCTTGGCCTCCTGCTTCTCTTCCCGGATGACTACAGGAAAGACGGTGGTGAGCAGGAGAGGTGCCCAGGGAGGGGAAAGGACAGATGACTCCATTTTCAAAAAACAGGAAAGAACTAAAGTGAGACTGCATTGATTTCCATGAAAAAAATCTAGAAATTAAAAATTAAATTAAAAAATTAAAGGGATGGTTAGTGAACCTCTTGAAAAGGAAGCAGTGAGCACAGAGAGCCAGCTAAGCTTCAAGCCTTGAGTCAGGAAGATGCGAGTTCAAATCTAGCCTCAGACCCATCCTTGCTGTGTGACCTTGGGCAAATCACATAACCTCTGCCTCAGTTTCCTCATCTGTAAAATGGAGACAAAATTTGTACCCACTTTCCAGGATTGTTGAGATATTTGGAGAGCACCTGGCACACTTTAGTGTGCTGTGTAAACAGCCATAATCATTATTATTGCTATATTGCCTGGAACAGGTTAACATTACCATTGGTCAAGTCATACTGACCTCAGTGGCTTTTTTAGAGGGTTTCTTTTCCAGGGTCCTTCCATAGACGTAATTCCTGGGTTAAGGAAGGGTCATAGATAGGGTTTAGAGCCATTTCAGCTCCTCATTCTACACATGAGGAAACTGAGACTTGGCCAGAGCCCCCTTAAGGCACTTCTGGACTTCTCTTTTAGAGAGGCGGGCTGGATGGTGGCACTGCGAGCCTGACTCAGAAATGGCTAACGGAGCAGATCCATTGAGTCACGGCAGAGGGACTGATGTCAGTCTGGACGGGGGTCTCCAGGGAGAGCCACGGGGGTCATCCGGGCTCATCTGCGGCTTGTTTTGGGTAGTAGTTTTATCAGTGACTCCAGGGGAGGTGAAGCTGTCCAAAGCACATGTTCCAAGCGCATGTCCAGGACTGGTCAGGCCACACGTATGTGGAGCACCTCATGTTAGGGAATAGCCTAGCGAGTGTCCAGGAGAGGGAACCCCATGGGGGCAGGGTGAGGGATGGGCCTGGGGAAGACCTCAGGGCCACGAAGGGCCCCATGTCTGCTTGGACCAGGCAGGTGGAGTGCAGAGCAATGAGGCAGATTCCAGGCAGCAGAAAGCTTCAGAACAAGAAAGAGCTGTCCAGCCACGGAGGTAGTGAGTGCCCGGTCACTAGAGGCTATCCTTAGGCAGAGGAAGCACATGTGGGCATGCAGAGGTCAGCTGTGTGGAGGCAGCCCGCAGTGGCGGGGGGGGGCAGGTGACCATGGGAGAGGGCAGTGAGTGACCTAAAAGTGGGATCACTGCCACACAGGCATCATGTGGCTTTCACCAAACTGTGCTAATGGCCCTGTCCAGATCCTGGGCTGTTGGCTCCTACCATCCTGCTTAGCTGGGGCACCTGCTGGAGATGCTGGTGGGGCCTCAGTTTGTGAAGGGGCCTCTTTGGAGTGGGGCGAGCCTCAGGGCAAGGGGACAGTGCATGATCAGGGCCTCTGGGTTCCGCATCACTCCAGGTGACAGAGGACTCCTTTCCTCCGCGTGCCCTGGCATCCCCTCATCGTGTGGGGGTCTCTGCAGCACTGCTCAGAGGCTCCAGGGAGGCAGACAGCACACGGCGTCTCTCAGGGCACTGGTGGTAGAGCTGAGATTGCATACAGTAGGGACCGCTCACCCTGTGCGAGCAGCTGGCTAGGTGTGGGCCCGACTCTCCCACTGGCTCCCAAGTCTGATGCTTCCATGTGCAATGAGTTCAAATGAGCTTTGCGATGGGCCTTCCCGAGGGCGCAAGCCACTCCCCATGACATGGGATAGGACTTCTCTCTGTCTCTCTCTCAATCCAGAGCCAAGAGGGTCAGTGGAGGGCGTGACCCAACTCCAGGCCGGGCTCTGGGCCAGAGACCCACGAAGGAGGTAGACCCTTGTAAGGGGAAGCCTGAGCAGAACTTGGGGCCTCAGTTTCCTCACCTGTAAAGGCAGGGTGCTTGGTTTCACTTGGGACATCCTCCATGATCGCCTCTGCTGCACCCACAATTAGGTCTCCCAAGGGAGTTAGCATGGTGGTGAATGCCCACCAAATCCCCGCCCACCAAGAGGGGGTGGGCAGGGCTTCAGCTCAGCATTCTTGGAAGTTCCTCTGGTTCTGCCATTCAATGCTCTTGTGATTCCTTGACTGCTTTCAGAAACTGCCAAGTTATGAAAAGACGTTTTTTGTTTGGGGAAAGACTGAGTTCATTGTGTGGGCTATTTAAAGATCATGTGAAATCAATTTACATGTTTAATTAAATGGCATAATTAGAGTTCAGCAAAAAATGTAACTTCTTTTTAAAATGAACACCCCCTCTCTGGGCTTGGGTGGTCGGCTCTTCAGATGGCCGTGGCACATACACGTCTGCACATACACGTCTGCATATGCATGCTGACACGTGTACGTGCCCCTTCAGCACCAAGGCGTCTGATGGCCATGGAATCCCCCCTCCTTCTTCACGGATGCAGGCGGCTGAGCATCACTCTAGACTCGACTAGGGGACCCCCTGCTTCTGCCTGGGAGGCCTTACCAGGGCCCCAAACCTCTCCACTCCTGTCCTCTCTAAGGGGCCATCTGCCAAGTGGAGCACGTCGTGGCCCTCCTGTACAAAGGACGCTGCGGCTTTCCCAGCCCCTGGCTTCTCGGTCATCTCTGAGTGGGGCCTGGGGCTCCTAGCCACTCCTCCAGCGGTGACCAGAGAAGGCAGCCTGGTTCACCCAGGCTGGGCTCAGGGGCCCTTTGGCTGCCCTGGCCTTTCCCCTTGGTGGGCCTAGATCCATCCCATGCTTCTCACACTGAAGAGGCTGGAGCCACACTTTCTCCTGGGGTGCTGGGGTCATTGCGCCTGTTTACTGACCTCACTGGCCACCCTCAGGGGCAGAGCTGCCTCCATTCGGTCAAGCCTCCAGGGCTCGGAGTCTCCCCTTCCCTGGATCTCTGTGCCAGCCTCCTTCTCTTGCCAACCCCCAGTTCCCACCTGCCTCCTTGGGAGCCTCTGGTCCTCTTTCCTGGTCATTCTGTCCCTTGGGTCCAGGAGCCCAAATGAGCCCCAGAGCAGAGGAGAGGGAGCCCCCTTGAGACCCTGGAAGCAGCTTCTCTGAGGCTACAAGGAAGACCCCATGCCTCTGGCCCCCAATGCTTCCAGCAGAAAGCTAAGCAGCAAGCCCTCACCTCTGAGCTGCCCTGCCTGGCCTCCCTGGTGGGGGGGAGGGGGCTTCCTGAACTCTGACCAGCAGCTTAGTGCCTCATCTGCCTGGCCTCCCTGGTGGGGGGGAGGGGGCTTCCTGAACCCTGACCAGAGCTTGGTGCCTCACCTGCCTGGCAGGGCTCTTGCAGATGGGATCCCCAGCTTGGGGTCTGGCTTTAGGGAGCCCAGCCTTCTCCAGCAACCTCAGACAGCCTTGTCTAGAAGAGTTCAGAGCCTGTTGCTCAGGCCTCCCAGCCTCTTTCATGGGGCTGGTTCACTAGGTCCCAGCTGCTGACCACCTTCTTCCACCATGTCCCTTATGGTGCTCAGAAGTGTTCAGAATTCTGACTTGGGTTCTGGGTTCTGGTGCAGACAAGCATCAGTGCCAACAGACATCCACAGTGACCTATCTCCCCAGGTAGCGCCAGAGTGTCCCCATAAACTGGGCACTGTGTCAGTTCACTGGCACCGAGTGCCCCCTTGGCACACTGAGGAGAAGCCCATCCTGGGGGATGAGGGGATGACCTTAAACCTTGGAGACTTCAAACAAAGAAAGAGCAAGAAGCACAACCTGGGTCTCATTGAGACATGCATCTCATGGCAAGGTTTTGCCTCCATGGTGGGGCCCAGAGCTCAGTCTTGGGGACTGTCTTTGCCCTTTCAGTATCTTATTCTGGCCTCCAGGGTAGGCCCAAGCTCTAGCTCCAGGGATAGGGGTGGAGAGTCATGTTCTAGCTCCAGGGATGGGAATTGAGCTCCATGGTCTATCTCCAGGATGGGACCAAGCTCTATGGTTTGGTTCCAGGGATGGGAACGAGCTCCATGTTCTAGCTCCAGTGACAGGAGCCAATCTCTGTGGTCTAGCTCCAGGAATGGGGGTCAAGCTCCATGGTCTATCTCCAGAGGGACCAAGCTCCATGTTCTAGCTCCAGGAATGGGATTTGAGGTCCATGGTCTTTCTCCAGAATGGGACCAAGCTCCATGTTCTAGATCCAGGGATGGGGGCCAAGCTCTATCTTCAGGGATGGGACTGAGCTCTATCTTCTAGTTCTGGAGACAGGAGTCGAGCTTCATGGTCTATCTCCAGGATGGGGCGAAGCTCGATGTTCTAGCTCCAGGGATGGGAGCTGAGCTCTAGCTTCAGGGATGAGTCTGAGCTCCATGGTCTAGCTCCAGCCTCTCTTCTCAAGGAGCCTCGGGTTCTGGAGTCCAGCCTCCAGCTTCTCCCAACTCACACTCTCTGCTCTAGCCAGGCCATCTTGCTTCCTGCCCTTGCCAGGTCACACTCATCTCTGCTTTTTATTTATTTACACGGTTCCCTCTGGCTGAAATTCTCTCCTCTTGCCCCAGATCTGCTCAAAGTCTCCCTTCCTAGGAAGCCTTCCCTGGATGCTCGAGCTCTGACTGTGCTGGGCTCCCCTACAACCTGTCCTCAGGCCCCCCTCAGGCCTTCAGGAGGGAAAAGAGTCCCTGACTCCCAAGTGCACAGGGATGAGGTGGAGGGGAACTAGCAGCTCTGGGAGGGTCATCCTAGGAGACTTGGGACTCAATCATCAGGAAAGGTGGTTGGGTGGGGCCCCTAGAAGGAACTACCTACATCTGCCACAGCTCTGGGTTCACTGACCTTATCCAACTGCTTTCCTCACAAAGGCACCCTCTGAACCACAGCATTACCCTAGAGATGCCCTTTGGGGCTACACCTCCTTTTTCAGGGGCCCCTAGAATCAGAGCCTGTCAGAGTGGGAAAGGACCCTGTAGGTCACTGGGCATAGCCCCTTTGTTTTCTCAAGAAGTACTGGAAGGCAGAGGTGATGTGTCCTCCAACACCAGCCCTGCCCCACCCCTCTGATCTGCTCTACTGAAAGAGACTTCTACCTGGCATCCTTGCCTCCCCAGACTCATCTGGCTAAATAACACTCCCAGTGGATCACTGCTTGGCTCTTGAATGGACAGTGGCTCCCTATGGCTCTTCAGATCAAGCCCCCATTCCCTTACTTAGCTCTAGGAGGGTTCCAGGAACTGTTGGAGGGGAAGGGGCAGATGGGAGATTACCTAGACTATGGAAACATGGTCTTTGAGGGAGGGAGATGGAGAGGAGTCATGGGGAAAGAAGCCAAGGGAGGGGAGGATGGACAGCAGGGAATAAGTCCAGGGAGATGGCAAGAGACAGAAGGAGAGGAGGGCAGTTCTGGCTGGAGGTCCTGGTAGCCCCTTAGCTCCAGGGCTCCTATCCAAAGCAGAATTGGTTATGTTCTCCATGGACCACTGGCTTCCAAAAGCCTCCTCTTCTCTTGTGGGCATCATCATCTCACAGCCTTGGAGTTATCCTCGTCTCTTTTTTCTCTCTCTCATTTCTCATCTCCAGGCCTTTGCCCAGTCTTGCTGACCCAACCTTCACAATGTCTCTTGAATCCAACACCTTCTCTCCACTCCTAGGGCCACCAGCCTCCATCATCCTGTCACCCCTCACCTGGGCTGGTCTAATAATTTCCTGCTCCTCCAAGGCATCCTCTACAGAGCTGCAGATTGAATCTTCCTAAGACCTGGCTCTGACCAAGTCATTCCTGGGCTCAAAGTGCTGTAAGGGATCACTACTGCCTCCAGGATCAAATACTGCGTTCTTTGGCCCTTAGAGTCCTCCACAGTCTGGATCCAGCTGTCCTTTCTAGTACATGGTAAGCACTTAATAGAGCTTTCCTTTCCTTCCTCCCTTCCCTCCCTCCCTCCTTCCCTTCCTTCCTTCCTTCTCCTTTCCTTCCTTCCTTCCTTCCTTCCTTCCTTCCTTCCTTCCTTCCTTCCTTCCTTCCTTCCTTCCTTCCTTCCTTCCTTCCTTCCTCCCTCCCTCCCTCTTTCCCTTCCTTCCTCCCTACCTCCTTTTCCTTCCTTCCTTCCTTCCTTCCTTCCTTCTTTCCTTCCTTCCTTCCTTCCTTCCTTCCTTCCTTCCTTCCTTCCTTCCTTCCTTCCTTCCTTCCTTCCTATTAGGACAGGGACCTTAGAGAGAGTACATACTATCTCCCTTCTTAAATTACCCAGCATCCACTCATCTTTGCACATGAATGCATCTCCCTGAAGGACTAGTTCACTGTTGCCTGTGTTTCCCCAGGGCCAACCACAACCTTCCACACAGTAGGAGCTGGATAAATGTTGGCCAAAGGGGGGAGAGTGGAAGGACGGGATGGGGAGGGGAGGAGAGAAGGCCCAGCACCAGAGTTCCCCCTCCCAGTCAGACAGAAGAAAGAAACAATCCAGCCCTCCTTGGGGTTGGGCCAGCTCTGCCCCCTTCTGAAATGTGGATAATGCCATGGTGGGATGACATCAGAGGAAAGTCACATATATCCACAAGAAACAGGAATGTGGAGCTTAGGCTCAGGACACAACCATGTGGAAAGGAGACACTGGCCAACGGGCCATCCTGAAACAAAAGGCGGTCACTGGGGCGTTAGCTGGAGGCTGGCAACGTGTTCTGGGCTCGGCGTCTGCAGGGGGGTGCTGCAAGGCAAACGTCCAGTGGCATTAATGTGCTGACGTCAGGTTGAGGGGGCTGGAGGGAAAAGGCCTCCCCCACTATTCTCACTCACCAGGAGGGCCCCAAGGACAGGAACCGAGAAGTCAATGGGACGGATAAAAACTGTTTGCATGCATGAAAGAGGGTGGGTCTGCTAGAACTATCAGAGGGTGGGGCAGGAGGTGGAGGAGGAGTAGCTGGCACCCAGGGAGGGTGACTGATGCTCAAGGGTGGGGCCTGGCTTGCATCCTGGTGCTCAGTGGGGTGAGGGTGGGGGGAGACGTTGGTGCCAATCCTCTGACTCCCAGGCTGGGCCTAGGGACAAAGCCGTCCCACCTCTTGGGGCCTGGCCCAAAGTGCTCATGGGATGAGCGGCACCCTGAGGGCCAGTGCGGGAGGAGGTGGGAGCGAGTGTGAAGTGGTCCCTTGGGAGTGAAGACAATGCCGCTTCTATTCTGGGCTCTGGTCCCCTTGAGACTTGGGCTGCTTTGGGGAGGGAGGTGCTTGCCTTTAGCTGAGTTAGGCAGAGTGGCAACAGCTGCCTGTCAGAGTTTGAATCTGAGTCTTAGTGAGGGATGTGAGATGCTGGGAAGGGATGGATTGGAGGCGGGGTAGGGCCCCCGCTGAGGAGGCGGACAGCGTGGCTGCTGGCTCTGGGAGAGGAGAGTCACTCTTCGGGACCTGCAAGAGAGGGGGGAGAAAAGCCACACAATGCGTCCTACAGAGGAGTAGACCAGATCGCAGCTGGAGGGGAGCAAACCTTTTGATCAGGTCCTTGAGATACAAGCTGCAGGAAGCTACCACATTTTGGTGGACTTCAAACACTTTGCCGTCAACAATAATTTTCAGGTCTGTGAACTCTTTCGTTTTCCGCTGCTGGTTCAACTCCTTCAACATTTCTGCAGAACAGAGAAGACAGACAGGCCAGGTCCCATTAAGGTAAGGGGTCGGCGGCTGCATGGGGGGCTTTGCTTCTGATTTTTTTTGGGGAGGGGTCAAGAAGTTGAGAAATCGGAAATACTGGACACTGTTTCTTGGCAAGACTGACTCAACACTGACGGTCAAAAGGAGTCACAGACAGAAGGTGTAAGGCAAGCAGCAACAGGAGGAGCCGGAGAGGTGGGAGACCCCCCAGAACCGTCACTTTTAAGAAGCAAAACAACAAACCACTTAAATTTAAAAAGATAAAAAATAAGCGAGGTTTCCACACAGATAAACCAGAAACACACAGGCGTTCATTCTCATGGATAGCTGAGCCCACAGCTGCTCCCACCCAACCTGGTAGCGTTTCTCCCACCAGATGGGCATGATTGCAATGGGTTGGGTACCTGGTCAAACATGGCGTGAGGATGTGATGGGGACTGGGGAAGGTGCAAAGCCAGTGAGGCTCATGAGTGAGCGTGGTAGGGGCGCCTGGCAGCAGCCAGGGATGACCTTTCCCCCATAGCCAAGCCCGCCAGAGACACCACCGCCAGCATCCCTGGGGTTGTGGGGTATTCTGGGGTAGAACTCTCCTGCATCTTCTCCTTTTTCTCAAGGGTGCCTGGGGCATGGAAATGGGCCCTTTTTGGTATCTAGCTTAAAGGTATCCTTGCACCTGCAGTTTGAAGGAGCCCTAAAGAACTCTGTAGTGGAGGAGTGGGAACGAGGGAGTGAAGGAGGAGAGGAACGGGGCAGCAGTACCTACCTTTGGCATCCACAGCACAGAAAAGCAAAGATTTGCCCACAGGTCACTGGCCCAGTTGAAGATGTGGCCCGAGTCCCCTCCTGGGGGAGGCTAAGGCACCCATCTTGGAGGCTTTCCCCCAAACAAGTGGGAGAGGCCCTGCCTAGGAGGAGGGTGGGAGAGAGGCCAGGCTTCCCCAGGGCGGGTTCAGCCTTACATTGTAGCAAGTGGCCAAAGGCCAAGATGTGGCGGGACCTGTGTCCACAGACTTGTTCTCTTTCACCTTCCCCACCCCATCAGTCCTCATGAAAGCAGGGTTTGAATGTGACCTTCTCCACCTTCCTAGTGTGGCACCACCTTCCTCTTTGAGCACAAAGGAGAAACAGCAACAGCAGAGGCAGGTCCTCGGGATCTCTCACCTGGACTCCGTATCAGCCTCCTAACTGGTCTCTCCCGTCTTTCCCCTCTCTGTTCATCCTCCACAAGCTGCCACGATGAATGCCCTAAGCCACAAGTCTCACCTCCTCATCCCTTCCCTCAAATCCTTCAGAAGCTCCTGGGGAGAAGTGACTTGCCCAGGGTCACACAGCTAGTGAGTATCTGAGGCCTCCTGACTCCAGGATGGTGCTCTATCCTCTGTACCCCCAAGCTGCCCCAGAAGCTCCTCAGCCAGGCACTCCTTCTGTACAGTGGGAGTGTTGGGCCAGATGACCTCCAGGGTCCTTTTGCCTGAGAGTCTGGGGAGTCCTCCTGGCCGGCTTCCCCTGCCCCCACCCAAAAGTGGCCTTTATGCGTCATGCTCCTGGGCTTGTCTGCCTTTCCTCCTCCTCTGCTCAGAGATTTCCTCCACCTATCAAAACCCAACTCATCGTTCAAGGCTCTGCTCTAGTATCACCTCCTCCTTGAAGCCTGCCCTGCTGCTTCTAGCCAGGAGTGATCCTCCAGTCCTCGATCTCCCACTTGGTCCCTCTCTGAGGAGTTGGTAATCACAATTATTTGTCCATGTGTCTCCTTTCCCCTGGCACAATGTGAGCTTTCTATTCTGTCTCCCTCATGATGACCAGCCCAGGCCCTCACTCATAGAAGGTATTCATGGGCACCTGGCTCAGAAGCCACTGAGGCCAGGCCTCTTATTTTACAGAGGCCCATGGAGGGGAAATGACTTACTTAAGGTCACACAGGGAGCAAACATCGGGGGTGGGATCTGAACCCAGGCCCCCTGACTCCAGAGCCAGGGCTTTCTGTACCACATTCACTGCACGGCTGCATCCAGAGATGATGACCAATCTATACTGCTCCCAGGCTCTCTGTCTGCTTCCTCAGGACCAACTGAGGGACGAACCCTTGAACCAAAGAAAACATAATCCTGCTGCCATTTCCACTTATGGCAGAAGAGAGGGGGAGGGTGCTAGGACTCACCTCCTTTACCTGGCAGTTCTTTCATAGTGAGATCTCTGTCTGTCTTTGGGGCTGAACCATTCTCACTGAAAATGAGACCAAAAGCCCAAAGGAACCCACACGCTCCTTCCAAGGAGTGCATCTCGCCAGCTCTTCAAGGAGTTGGCCAGGTTGGTTCTGCCTGTGGTCAAAGGCAAGACAGCCACTGTGAAGGCATTTTCCTGGCGCCTCCAGGTTCCTGAGAAAGCAGGCTGAACAGAAGTGACTTGTCCAGGGCATTCAATGCAAAAACAGACTGCTCAGAAATGTGAGAAGAGAGAAGGCTCTAGAAATGGCACCCTCACCAACAGTAAAACTGACTGACTTAACAGAGAGGAAAGGACTGGTCAATCATGTAATTCTGTGTGCAGCCCAGCCATCAGTGAGTTAGAGAAAAGAGCAAAACCAAGATAGACTAGAAAAAAGGATAAAGATGAGAAGAAGAGACTGTGAGAAATCACAAACAGTTTCAACCTGGCCAGTTCAAACAGGGTTTTGTTATCCCCAAAAAGGAAATGGATAAAGGAAAAGACATTGACTGTGATCACCACCATTTCCTAGAGAAGTTTAGCTGATCTCCTCTCTCCATCCCTATGTCCTCGTTCTTCCTTCTCATCTGCTCTTAGAATTCCTAGTTTCACTGAGTCCTCAACACAGGCACTACTTTCTGCAGGATGCTTCTCCTGATCCCACCAACTGCTAGCAATTTCCTGGAAGGCTCCCTTTTATCTGTTTTTTATTTGTCTGTACCCATCATAGTTGTAGACAAGACAGGTTTTTTTGCATACTCTCTCCCTCATTAGAATATGAACTTCTCAAGAACGGAGGCTCTCCGGATTTTGTCTCGGTATTTCCCGTGCCTACCAGCACATTTCAGGAGGTGGAGGGGCATCTAAGAATAGGGAGAGGGTCCCTTTCCTTCTGCCTGGTCAGCCTCACCCTTAAAGGTCATGGTTAGGTTTGGCACCACCACAGTGGAAGGAAGACCATAGCTCTACAGTCAGATCCATCCTCTGCTCAGCTGTCACAGTAAACTTACTTCATGACCAGGGCTGACCAGGTCACCCCCTGTGCAATGAGCTCTGGTGGCTACTGTTGCTGCCAAGATCCTGTGTGGCATTTAAAGTCCTTCCCAGCCCAGCCCCTTCCTACCTCTCCAGCCTTCTTCCTGGATGGAAGGTGATGTCAGAAGGAAAGCCTTGGGAGGTGGGGTGGGGTGGGGAAATGGGATATTTAAGCTGCATTTTGAAGGAAGCCAGGAAAGTCAGAAGACAGAGGTGAGGAAGGAGCGATAATGGTGTCAGTGTGGTTGGGAGCTCAAGAAGCATGAGGACCAAGAGAAGGGTGTCAGATTTGGTGATTAAGAGATCATTAGTGACATTGGGGAAAGGAGTCGGACCAGCTTGGTGGGGCTGGATGCAAACTTCAGAGGGATGAGAAGGGAGGAGAGGAAGCAGAGATGAAGGGAGCATGACTTCTCTAGAAGTTGGTCTGTGGAAGGCAGAGGAGACATAGGATGCTAGATTGAGGGGATGGCGGGTCTAGTGAAGGTCGTTAAGGATGGGGAGATGCAGGTGGTGGAAGGCAGCAGAGAAGCAGCTTGTACATGGGGAAAGACTCAATGCTGAGATCGGGGAGGATGATAGAGGCTGTGTGCTGCTGGAGAAGAGGAGAGAGGAATCCATGTAAAGGATCTGGCCTTGGCAAGGAGAAGGGCCACAGAGATAGGGGGAAAGGAAAGTGGGGGATGCTGCCAGGTATGACAAGGGGGGACATGGGGCCCTTGGGAGAAGTGAAAAGTCTGTGACAGGCGGCCCCTATTTCACGGGCACAGTAGGAGGTGAGGTCGGCGACTGAGAGAGTGAGGAAGGACAGTGTAGGAGGCTGAAGGAGAAGAGAGAAGATCTGCAACAGATGCCATGGGAAGTGCAGCAGTCACTAGGGAGGAGTGAAAGGCCTGGCATGCAGCAGGGAGGACCTTGCTGAGATTCAATAGGAATTTGTAGCTGATTCAGTCAGCCCAGGTGGGCGACTTCCTCCATCATTAATCAGTGACAAGTGAACAAGAGTGGAGGATGGTGAAGGTGGAGGGAACCTGGGGAGGGGCTTGGGAAGGAAGGAAGGAAGGAAGTGAGAGAGAGAGAGAAGGAAGGGGGAGGGAGAGAAGGAAGGAAGGGAGGAGGGAAGGAAGGAAGGAAGAAAGGAAGGGAGGGAGGGAAGGAAAAGAAGGAAGGAAAGGAAGAAAGGAAGGAAGGAGGAGGGAGGTAAAGAAGGAAGAAAAGGAGAGAAGGAAAGGAAGGAAGGAAGGGGGGAGGGAAAGAAAAAAGGAAGCAGGTGGAAATCAACATTTATTGTGAGTTCAGGCTTGGTGTGACCTTGTAGGATGATGAGTTTCTGGGGAGCATAATGAGGTCCAGAGGAGTGCAACCAGGTGGGAAATAGAGCAGAGGAATGTGATGAAAAGAACTTATACTACGATGTTGATGACTGATAGCCATATAACCTTCTCAGGGTACTTGCATTTTTAAAGAGGCCACTGTTCACTCCAAAGATCAGGTGGCACAATGGATTGAACACTTGACCTGGGGTGAGGAAGACCTGAGTTCAAATCCTGCCACAGACATTTACTAGCTATATGAGCCTGGGTGTCACTTAACCGCAGTCTGCCTCAATTTTTTCTTCTGTAAAATGGAGATAATAATAGCCTCCACCTCCCAGATTTGTTGTGAGGATCCAGCAACATAATATTTGTAAAGCAATTTACAAACCTCAAAGCACCATATAAATGCCATTATTATCTAATGAAAGTGGGTTAACAAGAATGCCAATCTTTGTATTTCAAGCACATAAAATAGTGCCTGGCACAAAAAAGGTGCTTAGGAAATGCCTATTGCTTTGACTTGATGTGGGGTGGCATCAAAAATAGGAACAAAGGATTGTAGCCATCATGGGCAGGGAGATGCTCTTCTTCACTCCTCGTGCAGGGGAAGCTGTATTTAAGGGCCAGAGCAAGATGGTCAGATGAGGGGTGCAGTGATAGGTCAGCTAAGAAAGGAATGGGGTAGCCACAATGCATATCTCTGCCCCCCATCCCAAAGAGCCGGCCTCATTAGGTAAAGGGAAGACCCTGGGCTGGCTTCTAGGAGAGGATCAGACAGTGAGTCCTCTGGGTGACCTTAGGGGAGTCATGCTCCTTCTCTGGGTCCCTTTCCCCATCTGATAAATAGATGTGGTTGCTTTATGACTGTCTGAACCTTTGCTCCTCCTCACAAAATGGATCTGGTGAGCCATTTCCTGTGAAAAAGTCACCAGGGGCTGCCCAATGTGATGTGGGGGCTGTGGGACCCTGGGCTTGAGATCTCCAGATAAGACAACCCCAAGGACCCTTCTGGCTCTGGCATTCTATGAAAAAGCTTGAGGAATTCCACAAATGTGGCTTTTTTTTTTTTGTCAAGTGAGGCTGCACAATCATCAATATAAGACACTTTGAAACTCAGCTCAGGACCTCTAAGCAATGTGCTGTAAGCCAGAGTGTTTCTGCCTTATACAGCATCACCAACTGTGTCAATAATGGCCATGCCCTGAAAACCCTTGAGAAGCTTTCCAATTTCTTGCATTCTACCTACCAGCTAGCTCCTGATTCTGTCAGGCTGGATGCTTCTAATTCATTCACTGGTTCACCTTTCTCAGATGTCACAAGTCCATTGGGTGTAGATGAAAGGAGAGAAGAACAGGCAACAATGTGATGGTATAGGCTACAGTCCACCCAGGCAGATGGAGGACATGGATAATGCTTTCCAAAGATATGGAGGAACTCTGACTCTAGACCATGTCTCTCTAGATCATGGCACTCTTCTAGATACGTCTCTCTTTGCTATAGGCAGGGCAGCTCCTTGCCTTGATGCTAAAGTCATCTTTTGGGAGATGGAGGAGAAAGTGAGAGGAACTCTCATTCCAGACTGGAAGCTGCCTAACAAGGAGGAATGGGCCAATGGAAGTGTCAGGAGCTTCTGGAGGCAGGGCCCCACCCCACAGCCCTGGGGTGTGCAGTGTACTGGGGGCCCTAGGTCTCCTGAGGGAGCATGGTGATGATCCCATCATCTTGTGGAGCTGGCACTAAGGGATAGGAGACTGCCAAGGATGCTTTCTGATGACACCTTTGAAGACAAGCCTGGGGAGGGAGAGAGGCTCCCTGAGGATGCCGGCACATCAAAGGGCATGTTCTAAAGAAGCAGGGACATCCATCCAGCTCAGCCTACGAGGGTTGCACTGGCAAAGTGAGGCGCAGGGTGCGTCCTGGCTGGGGAAGGAGGAAGGAGGGAGCTGTGTGAATGACCGGCAGGGGAGGGAAGGCCAGGGATGCTGTCAAGGGTGACGTTAATGGGATGGCCAGACCCCAAGATCCTGGTCACAGCCTATTCCTGTGCATGACTGCCTACTCTTTAATTCCCAGGAGGTTTCCTGAAACCCTGTGAGAAAAAACCAAAACATGTCTTCAGACGTCCATGCCACTCCAGACACACCAGCTAAACCTGTCTCCTTCCTGCACGAAGTTTTGGCTTAGTACTGGGTAATCACATGGGGTCTGTGGGAGGGGGTTTACGGTCTCTAGTGCATTGGGCCACACTCGGGCTAGAGAGAGGAGCCACCGGACCGGGGGCGGGGGGATGTCAGGGTGCTGGTGGAAGGCTGAGCCCCCTCCTCAGAGAATGGTCTGCTCAGGGCACTGAAGCTCCTGTTGAGATGCTTGTAGCGCCTGGCCCCGGTCCAGTGAGCCATTAATCAATGGAGGCATGAGCGTCTTCCAGCTCATTCTTCATGGGCAGCAGGTGATGGGCTGGGTGGCTTTGCATCCAAGTTGCTGATTTTTCCCTCTCCTGGCCATGTCAAGACTGTTCTGGGACTGTTCTCTTTCACTGGGTGAGAGTGCTGAGGAGGGGAACCCGCTGAGATAAGTTTCCAATCACTTGAACCTGGGTCTGTGCCTAGGCTGAAGATGTGGGTCTCCAAGCCATCAGTGCCACGCTTGGGGGACAGGGCCTCAGGAAGAGCTCCAGATATGCCTCTCTGGCCCTCAGCCACGTGCCACCTGGGAAGATGCAGTCAGGAGCGGCTCCTCGACCTCCCCTCAGCCCCCACCATCATCCTCACAGCTGTGGCCTGCACCAAACCCTCCTCCCCTCTCACCCGGACTAACCAGCCTTTCTGCCTCCAGCCCCTCTGTCTCACCCCATCATTATCCTTCTCAAAAAGTCTTCTTTGTTTTCCAACTGTTTCTAGGAAGAAATACAAACACCTTGGCCTGGCCTTCAATGCCCTACACAATTTAGCGATCGTCCACCTGTCTAAGCTGAAGCGCATTATTGCCCCTCACAAAGGTGTCTATTGATATGCCATCCCCCATCCCCACACCTTTGCCCAGGCTGTCTGTCCTAAGCCCTGCCTGTGCCTTCTACAGGAGGACTTTCCTGATGCTCCCAATGGCTAGTGCCTTCCCTCATTCTGCTGACCTTGTACCTGGACTTGCTAATTCACCTGGTGTCCTCCCAATGGAAGGTAAGCCCCCTGAGGGCAGTGCCCAGAGACAATTCATGGTAAAGCACTTTGTAAGCCTGGAAATGCTGATAAATGCTGGCCTGGTTATGGGGGAGGTGCTTGACTAAAGCTTGTGGAATTGAACTGAATTTGGAACTGGTTTTGTGTGTTTTTGAAGGGGTGGTCCTAATGCTATTTGTGAAGGCTGATTCTACCCCTGTCCCCATTGTCGGAGTCAGACCCCTGAGGGCAGAGGGCCAGGGGACTCGTAGGCTGGGACCATGCATGCCTTGATGGGCTTGTGCCACTCTCCCACCCCCCCCAAAAAGAGGCCATTGATTTGGATGGCCGCTGAGGTCCACGGCAGCTCTCCGGAAGGGGGCTGAATGTTTGAGCTGTGACTCCAAATGGGCAGGGAGTCCCTGCACCAGTCAGAGGACATGGGTTCAAATCCTGCCTGTAGATTTATATGACCTCTGAGGATCTGAGCTGCATGGTGTGAAACATGGGGGTTGGAATACTAGGGGCTCGCTAAGTGGCACCATAGTGCCCAGAGCACCAGACCTGGAGTTGGGAAGGGCAGAGTTCCAATCCAGCCTCAGACAATGTAGACCCCTCCCCCAACCATTCTGAACCCCAAAGACCTGAGAAAGGCCCAAGACGTGGACTGGCCATCAGGAGGACATTCGGCCTACTCTGAGCTTCACCTACCATGATGCCTTGAATGCTCTGGTATAGCAGATATGCCTTGCTCTGCTCTCTGAGGGAACCCCAAATGCCCCTTCCTGTGTCAGCAACTACAGGGCCGGACGAGGCTGACCAGGAGCCATCCTCTCTTTATGACCACTGAGGACAGGGCACCTGGAATGGACGCTGTCTTGAATAGTGGGACTTTTCTTATCTTGATATTTTATGGACACATGCTACGGTTCTGTGGATGATGGGGAAACACAGATGTCCTGGCTCCATACTTTCGATGGACATTCTTACTGTGTTGACATTCTACCCAATGAAGAAATTCCTTTCTCATGTCATGGTTAACGTGTCCAGAGACCATGATTTTGGCTGACATGGGCCTCCTGAGCCAGGAAGGGAAGGAGGGTGAGAGACCGCTCGGAGGATATAAGGTGCCCTTTGTCCGTCCATCTTTGGGTTCGTGGTCTACAATGAGCTTCCGTGCATATCTTCATACCCATGTTCTGCCAGCTTTGAGACAAATAAACGCGCCCACGCAGACTAATTTCATTTGTCTTTCCAAGAACAAACTTGGTAATGGTTGACAATGCTGACTTGCCCGGTGTCTCTGGGCAGATCACTTAGCCTCTGTCTGCCTCAGTTTCCTCGGTGGTAGAAGGGGTTAATGAGAGCTCCCAGGCTGATGTGCCTGCCGTAGAGCCCCCTACTCTGCCCCAGGGAAGCCGGGTTTCATTAGTTTCCCACCTGCAACTTGGAACATCACAGATTGCCCACCTCTGGCCATCCTCAGAGGAAGGAAGAGTCAGATTCTTAGTTTTCTAAAAAACTGAAGAAATCGATATTCTGCTCCATGCATTTAAATCCTGCTCATTAAGCAGGCATCCAGGAGCTCGCTTCTGCCTCTGTGAGTCAGAGAGAGTCGATCCTTGACCTATTGCAAATCCAAGAGTATTTCCAGCTACCTTTATTTTTCAATTGATTAATTTTTAAATTAAAGTAGCCAGTTAAGACTCCAGCACCCATTTTGGCCAGCCACTGAACACAGCCTGGCTAACACCCAGCCCATCCAAATGGGCCAGAACTAGCGGAAACAAACAGGGGCGTGAAGGCACTGATGAGCCCGGGGAATAGCCAGGCGCGCCCCCCAGGAGGTGGAGCTTCTTGGGTGGGGGAGGTGAGAGGGCCCATCTGCAGGCTGGCCCTAGCAGGCTCTACTGTGCAGAACAACAGAGTGGGGGGAAGCTCAGATGGGAGAGTGGACGGCCTGGCACCCTCCAGGTGCCCTTCACACACAAGCACGGAGCAATGGAGGGCTTTTGGAGCTGGCCGAGCCCAGGGGCAGCACTGGCACTGTCCCACAGTCCACTGTTATGAAGAAATCACTCGGCCATTTGAGAGGAGACTTGAAGGGCGGAAGACACTGAGCTCCTAATGCCCTGTATGTGGCCAGGGACTAGAACTGAGCCTGCCCAAGAAGCCCATGAATGGGTCTGAGGAAACAGCTGGCTGACATCTCATAAAAGCAAGCTCCATGAGGGGCTGGGACCCTGTGTGTTGGTAGAACCAAGGCTGGCCTAGCCTGTTTCTGACACTGTCTCCTCCCTCACCCCCAGTCCTTCTCCCTGCGCACTGGGCCCCTCCTGGCTCACCTCACTTTTTTCCCTCTGGGGCTTCTGGGGCTTTGGGGTCAGTTCCAAGTTGGGGGGAGAAATGTTGAGGTCTCTACTGACTGACAAGCTGCCTTATTCCAGCCTGGGCTGCCTAACTCTCTTTGGAAGCCCTGAATGAGACAAAGATCAGGTGTTGGGGTGGGACTATCCAGTGGTTAGAGCGCAGTGTCTGTGAGGTTACAGACAGAAGCCCCGGCTCTGCCCAGGGCTGCAACCCCCAGCACTGGACTCCTGGAGACAGCAAGGGCAAAGGGCCAGCTCACCCCTTTCTGAAGAGCTGGGACATGGCCCCTGCCCCTCCCTAGCAAGGATTGTTGGGGAAAGCCCTAACCTGCCACCCAATTCTAACAAAACACCTATGAGCAGTTTAAAAATTCAAGGATGAAGAGGCTGAAGTCCAGCTGACCTAGAGGGTTCTCAGCCCTGAGATCAGCCCCTCTCGGCACTGCCAAAATGTGGCACCTCCCGTGGGATTTTAGCAGCTCTGAGTAAGCTGCTCCAGAAGGCTGGGGGCAGAACTCCAAAGGGTAGGGCCAGTTTACTTGCCCAGCACAGAAGTCTGTCTGTGGCCTGTTTGAGGTCTGTCTTGGGCCATCTGAGGTCTAAGGTTTGCCTGGCTCATCTGCAGTCTGCTTGAGGTCTGCCCTGGCCTATTTGCATTTTGTCTGAGGCCTGGCTGAGGTTTGCCCAGCCCATCTGCAGACTGCCCAAGGTCTGCCCTGGTTTATTTGCATTCTGTCTGTGTCCTGTCTAAGGTCTGTCCAGCTTATCTGCAATCCAGCTGAGGCCTCACCCTGTAATAGGGCCATCCGGTAGACTGAAGGGATGTCAGAGGGGGCTGATGCAGTCCCCTGAAGGTTGGCCGTGCAAGTGCTTTTCATGGGCCAAGAATGGGGGAGCACCTGAAGGCACTGTAAGCTTTCCAAGGAAAGGGCAGATCCCCCCTCCACAGGCAGCTCAGTGCTCGGGAGGCCCGAGAGGGTGGTCCTCCTTGGCCTCCTAGGGCCCTGTCCTCTGCATCCTCTGTCCATCTCCTCCTTCCCCCGCCCTGGCCTCACTTCCCACTGCTCTTTCTCCAGGTTCCTCTCTAGTCTTCTTCCTGCGGCCCCTGCCTTAATTCTTTGCCCCCTCCCTCATGTCTTGGGACTCTCTGCCTGTGTCCAGCCTCGGACCTTCATCTCCAACAGCCGCCTCCTTCCCTCACCCCAGCCTAGCTGAGGCCCCAGTCCTGACAGATTGCTAGACGGAAGGGGGCCTCATGGGAAAGGCTGGCCTGACTTTTCCCTGGCCCAGCTGGGTTTCCCTGGGGCACCATGAACCCCTAGGGGGAGGGCTGTGAGACATACCTTTGGGGTGCCACGGGTCTGTGAACTCATATTTCCCCATGCCAATTGTCCGAAGCATCTGGACGCTTTGGCCCTGGGCAGAGTCCGTGGGAGGGGCTGGGGGCCCTGCCGGCCCATTGGTGGTGGGGATGCTGTTGGGCAGGGTAGCCCCTGGCACGGAGGGAGGCGGCGGTGGTGGCGGCAGGACCGGGCATGCCATCTGCCCATTGCCTACAGCCGTGGGGCCTGGGCGGGCCACCGGGCCCACGCTGGGCATGGAGGTTAGGCTCAAGGGCTGGCTGCCGCTATATAGGCTTTGACTGGGCAAGGTGACCACCAGGCTGCTCAAGGGCTGTGGAGGCTGAGGCTGGAGTTGGTAGTGAGCCGGCATCAGAGGCAGCGAAGGGGTCACCCCAATGATGGGGGCTGGGACGCTCACGGCTGGACTGAAGGCAGGAGGCTGGGTCATCCCGTAGGTGTGGGCGAGGAGGGCTGGCTGGCTCCCTGCGGTCACCGCAGTCACCCAGGGTGTGGTCCCTGCAACAGAAAGGGGGACGAGCATTAGCGGAATTTACTCCTTTGGATAAAGGTCTGAAAGATGACCTCTCCTCTGGGGGGAAGGGGGTCTAGGCTCAGCACTGTCAGGCCCAGGGGAGAAAGGGCATGCTCCCTGTGCTCAGGAGGCTCCCACATGCCCCCCAAGATGGTAGAGGGTAATGAAGAGAGCCTCCCAGCCTGGGGCCATCTGGTGAGGGGGGAATTCATGGAGGGGCATGCACTTAATCTATGCCTTAGAGGAGGACAGTATTGGGAAAGGCTGGGATCAGGGGACAGACTCCAGGCAGGATGGACCTTGGTAGGGCCGCTGGAGGGGAGGGGAGGTTCTGAGGAGCTCCTGGGACGGGAAGCCCAGGCCAGGAAGGAGGGAGGCCCTTCAAGATTACTGTGGCAAAGGCCTGGTGGGGGGAGGTGGGAGCTGGGAGATGAGAGAGCCCGTCTGAGGGCACTAGAGGAGGCTGCCCCCTGGGCCCTGGCAGAACCTCAGCACTTTCCTCTGGCTGGGCTGGTTTCCAAGTGCCCTCCCTGGTCCTAGCCTGGCAGTCTCCAGCCCGATCATGGTGGTCTCTTTTTATCAAGCCCCAAAGAAGGCCCTCCAAGGATGCCATGGGTCTCTGAGACCTCGCTCAGCACCATGGAGACAGGCTGGTGCAACGGGGCGACTGCACTGGGCCTGAGGCCAGAGATTGGTGTGGGACCTCAGCTGGACTATTTCCCTCCATAAGCTAGGGAGGAGGATGGGGCCCAGAGGAAATGACAGAGAGACAGAAAGGGCTTGGGATCAGCAAAGGCCCAGAAAGAAGGGGCGCGTCTTCTCAGTGTCCCCAGAGCAGCTTCTGTTCCCCTGGAAGGAGCTGGATGTGGGCTGTGGGACCTGGGGGGCCTTTCTGCCACAGCACTTATGCTGGCCCCTCCCCACCAGCTGTCTCCTGCCTCCCTGGCCTCACCTCCCACTCACTTCTCACCTCCTCAGATCTGCCTTCCAACCTCCTCCAGAACAGAAGGCTGCCCCCGCCCCAGCTGCCAAGGTCGCCTGTGCTGTGGCTCATTCCATGTGACACAGAGCACTTTGCAAGCCTTGAAGGACACAGGTGGAGGTCAGCTCCCAGAGAGGAGTGGGTCCCCTCAGAGCACTCACTCCCTTCTCCCTGCCCCCAGGATGCCCCCTCCCCCTTCCCAGCTGCTGAAATCCTGGTCTTTGTCCTAGGGCCAGCCTGGGCTGCCTTCTCCACAGGCTCCCCTGGCTCTGGCCCCATGCTCTGCCAGGCCCTTCTCTCCTGCCATGGCCTCTGATGGCCCTCAGCTTTGGGCCCCAGCACACCGTGCCTTGTGCTGTGCTTACCTGGGTGTGTCCTACTGGAGTGTAAGCTCCCTGAGCACTGGGCTGGAGCCTCACCCCCTGCCCAAGCAGTGGAGGGAGGTGCCAAAGGGCCAGAAAACCTCCCTAACAGGGAGAGGCATGCAAGGGTGGTAGTGAGCTCCTCATCTTGGACTATCTTCAAGAGTCTGGGTGCACACTTGTTGGGTGCTAGAGATGCCTGTTGGGGCTGGGTTGGGTTGGAGGCTGCTGGGGCCTTTCCTACTCTGAGGGTTGCTGATTCTATGCTTTGAATTCAGGGGAGATGAATGGAATAGAATGGAATGAGGTGCCTGGATGGGAGGACGTGGAGTCAGCCACATGCAGCGACATGCCCGGACACCTGCCACAGAAAACAGTGGCCGCCCAAGCTTAGGAGGCACCTTCTGAGTCCCTGCCCTCCATGACATCAGGACACAGCGAGGCTGCTGGTGGGAGTCTCTGGTGCCCAGGCTGGGCTGGTTCTTTGGGCAGAACCCTTGGAAGGAGGGAAGAAGAGGGAGGGGCAGAGGATGAGGGAGCTCTGAAGGCCAAAGAGATGCAGCTAGGGAAGTATGGGTGGGAGGGAGGAGAAGAGAAGGGGGAAGGGGAGGGGAAACCCTCTTTGGCCCTATCGGGGAAGGAACATGGCACTGGCCACTACTGCCCTGTGTACCTGGGTTCTCACTTTCCCGAATCTGCTTAGGCGGCGGCTCATCCGTGTCCCAAGGTGTGGACTGGTTGATGGGCGTCTGCCCCCACCTGACACTGGTTGCCAATCCTTGTGATGGAGCCTCTACCTTGGAGAGGCCAGGGACCTGTAGGAGAAGAAGAGGGAAATGCTCCCTGGAGCCTGCACAACTCCCCATTCAGCCGGCAGATAAGGATAGGCTTTTCACACACACACAGACAGACAGACACAGACAGACAGACAGACAGACAGACACATATGCCACCTGCAGCTGACTCTCACTGGCTGGACACTCATTCTCCCCTGTCCCATGAGCCCACTTGGGCTCCCTCTTCAGG